TCTCATTTCCTCCATGCAAATGTGCGGGTGATATCTTAGGCTATAACTGCTTCCTTTCATATTCTTTCCAGTTCATTATTTATTAAACATACTACCATTCGGAGTTGTATGTGGTATGAGCTGCTGACAGTGTTGTTAAATAAACCATAAATAAATCCTTAAAATGGGCAGTAAAATGGCATGTTCTGATGCACAAAATTTGAATTGTTTTTCCCGTGTTTTAAAAAATCTTTAATTGTTTTCTGATGCTCTTTGACTTTCTTGCGAAGATAAATTCTGTTTTCAGTGGAGATATTTGCAGTGCATTCGAATGACATCTAAATGACCTGAACTCCAGTCACTTTAAAATATTTTCCTTCTGCAAATGACAACAATACTTCCATTGTGACAATTAAATGGTTGCTTAAAATATATATATATATATATATATATATGTATAATACATATCAATGACTGTGGTCTGTGTATGAGTAGTATTGTTTATGGCTATATTTTATGATTGATACTTTGATTATGCCAACTACTGTGATATCTCTTAGTATTGTTTACCTTTTTCATTATCTATTAGTTCTTTTTTAGCTAGATACATTGTATAGTGTTGAATGTTAGTATGATTGCAAATTATAAATTGAAAAGGATGTGGAGGGAGTTGTGGTCAATTTTAAGGTACTGTGAAGGCATTTGCCTTAAGGGACTGAGGAAAATTTCATTGAGGATAGACAGCATTTGGGGCAAAATTCAAACCTAGGATTTTTCGAATATGAAGCAAGAGTGCTAATCATGTGATCACAGTGCTGCTGTTGTATTTCACATCATATGATCTGAAAGTATCAGACATGGATTATTTTATTTCGTCAGGTGTAAGTGGAAAATGTTTGACTGTACTGAAGCCTCTAACTTTACATTAAAGTCAAATACACATTAAGTTTCAAATGGTGTTTTGTTTGCATTATTTGGTCATTTAAAATATTATGTTAGAATACAGATTGTGGCAAGTACCTTATGGTTACTGTAGCATATTGTGCTAACAGTTTTACTTACAGGATACAAAAAGTAGCAATGGCACATTTGTCAACAATCAGCGGCTCAGTAAAGGGGCAGAAGAGTCACCACCTCGGGAAGTCTGTTCTGGAGATATTGTTCAGTTTGGAGTTGATGTTATGGAGAATTCGAGGAAAGGTGAGTTTGTACCTACGAAATGTGTGATAATGATTACAATTAAATTGTAGTTATACGCAGGTTATTTGTGGTTTTATGTTGCTGTTATTATTTGGTTGTTATTCTTTAAATTTTTTATAATGCTTGCCTGTGCTGGGCTTACTACTTTTGTCAAGCACTTGAATAAATAAAAGTAATGATGGTGGTGGTATTGTAGTAACCATAATATTATTGTTGTCATCACTATATCACATTTAAAACTTGCCAAGGCATGTGGTTATTGTTGAGAAACAGAATTAACACATTGATTATGCTCTATATATGGTGTCGTCTGCTTCTAGGAAGTATGTTCGCAGTTCATGCAGTAGTGGATGTGAAGACAAGCAAGGGTATAAGTGAATGTATTGAACATATTGTATACCAAATGATAAGTTTTATGATAAAGAAGAAGAGGTATTAATTTTTGTTAGGAGGGTGACAAAAGAATCTGCAGTCCATACTCAGTCAATTGATAAAACAATTTTTAAAATAAAATAGGGGCTAAATTTAGAAGAATATGTACATAAAATATCATCATTTAGACAAGACAGAAGTATAAGTAGCAGAACATTTTTTGGAATACCATGAATTTCAAATGCTTTTCCTGTAATTAATAAATAAAATGCATTTTGGTGTTCTTGTTGGCATATTTTTAGTGATAGGTGATCAAGAATGAACTGGTTTTGCTTTTATTATCATTATATCCAGACTATACTTTCAAAGTCATTTTGTTGAAGAATAGACGTCGGCCTTCTCACATTCTAAGTAGCCACTGCCAAAATGTCACAGGCAAATGCTTCATAATTTGAAGGTCCCAAATTCAGATCTAGACTGGCTACCTCAACTGTAGTTGTTGTGGTTTCCTCAGTCCTTCCAGGCACATGTCAGGATAATATCTTAAATTAAGACACGACTGCTTTTTTCACATCTTTTCCAGCTCAGTCATTCATTAGTCCTTTTACCATTTAATTCTATATAATCAAAGCTATTGACAGTTACTATGTAAACTGTGAATAATGTAAAATGAACATTCTTGTCGATTGACTTGTAATATTTATTGTAGTTATGTTTTACATAATTTTATTCTTAAGGTTTTATCCTTTTTTATTGTAGGTATATAAAAGTATCAATACAGGGTGTCAGAAACAGATAATCAGTTTTGTGACATAGTTATCATACCCCAAATTGCTACCCATTAACCAGCAAGGTGGGCTTACAATAACACTTGACTTTTGTTCATGAGGTTCCTATTTTTGACCTTGGCTGTGGCACCATTTATCTCGACTTAGTTGTGTTCTTTGGCCTTCATTTTTAATTCTTTGCTTGATTTATTTCCAATTTTACAAATCAAAGAATGAACAGACTTGTAAGGACAATATGAGTTTAAGAAGGCAGTCATCTTTATCCTGAATGACAAACAGAAAATAATGTTTCAGGTCATATTTGTTACTTATTGTTATGTAGTTTATAATAATGAAACAAATGTGAAAGAGCGTGGTAACAGTTCAGGAAGTTCTTGTTTCAGTGACACATGGCTGCATTGTTGCCACACTGAAGTTATATTTACCAGATGGCAAAGAAGCAAAGGCAAGGTAAGTCATGACATGTTTTTGTTGATGGAATTCAATGATTAATGTAGGTACATTCAATAATAGAAATCGGTGACAGAAATTCTCCTATTTTATGGAAAATGCAGTATTTCCCAATCTTTTTATACCTGTAACATACTTCTTATAGTTTTAAAATGGGAAGGTCTAGAAGGGTGTGGACCACCCCTCAAATGGCTATGTGGGTCTGAGGGTACATCCCCAGGAAAAGATGCTTATTAAGCCATATGAACAAGAACTGTATTTGGGATGAAATAACCAGGCTGACTTCATATATCATGACAATAAAAAGATCTGATAATATCCTACTTATATGTTGTTTATTAATGTTACTTTATGAGGAATAGTAATTGCAAAATATGTGGTTAATATTAAGTACATAGTAAAAAATGGCATGAGGGCATTGACAGCTTTGTTCCCAATAACGATACATTTTTGTCACAGAATAACATACAAATAAATTGCGTGACACACTTCTACTGTTCTCACTGCACACCAGTGTTCTTTGGTACACACTTTGGGAACCATTGTGTTTTTATGGGTATTACATGGAAATGGATGATTACACAGTTGTGGAGGGCTGATTTTAAGTGACTGACAATATGCACACTGTAATCATCTGAAACTGAAAGTGGTAGTCAAACCACTGTGAAGAGTTTGTAGGTTTTGCATGGAGGAAATTTCATATATGCATCATATTTGTTGTTGAATTTTCTCTCAGGCACTAACCCATATAAAATATGAAGAATTCCAATAGGGTAAATAATCAGCATTAGTGGTGTATTCAGTACGGATGACCAATGGAAGGTATACTGAAAGGTGTTTGATGTTTGTGTGTCTGAAATTTTAATAATTTCTTATATCTATGTTATATTCTTTTATTGACCGCAGGAAACAATGCAGTTGGAAATATTTGTCCTTGGAGAACATTAATTTTAAAAAATTCTAATTTAAAACTTAACAAAACCTACTGAATGTATTTATGTTGGGAATAGTACTATTGCTTTGAATTCAGGAGGCATGGATTTTGAGTCTCAGTTTGGAGATTGGCAATCCAGACTTTGAGGGGGATAGAGTGGTTTTCTTGAATTGAACTTGGGCAAATCCTAGTTTTTTAAAGTAAGTTGCAGCTATTTTCATGTTGTTTCTTATTTATAATCATCCTGGCATATGTGACCTCTGAAGTTAAATGAGCAATGTTAAGAAAACCAGTAAACCAAAGTTAGGATGGAAACCTATCTGAGCTGTGGTTAAATTAAGTAATCTCATTTGTAAAAGGTGAACTTTGCTTATCAAACATTTGCTGAAAGTGATTGTATGTGTTACAGTCCTTCCACATCTGTTGTCAGCTCAGTTGGGATGGTGCCATTAGAAGACCTGTATCAGCTGAACCAGTATCTGCAGGTAAGGAAGAGGCTGCTAGTGCTTGCCTGCACAATTGCTGTTCGGTTGTCTTCTAGCAATTCATATTCTGTATCTTAAATCCATCTTGATAAAAGAAGCTTAAGTTATCGTGTGTCAATTTCCCATGTGAATGATGTACTCAAATGAAAGCTTGTGAAGCAGTGTACATATTTGTGGCTTATATAACATTTCTTTATTGTGCACAGATTGAGTGCTTGTCCTGTATTTTTGTATGATGTAGGAGTAATGGATTATTTTAGTTTTCCAACTTGGGAACAGAATGTACATGAGTGGAAAGGTGTATTGCAGTGAAAGTTTCATATTTTTTAATTGTGTTCTTGTTAATTTATTGTAGATAAGTCTGTTGGTGCTGTCTTAATTGCACTACAAATGTAACATTACTAAGACTCAGAAATTATTTCCCTGTATTTCATTAAATATAAAATTGAAAATTATTTTAAATAAAAATTATAGATATTTCCAGTAACTGTATCTGTAGTTTGTGTCATGTACCAATTTTGTATGTGATCTTTCTTTTTTCTTATTCATCCCTCTTTTTTTAAATAAAGTTGGATTTGAGCTGAATATAAATTAAGGGTTGTATTGAGCTGAAACAAACTAATATTAAATTCACTTGGTGACTGACGTTTAATGTATCTCCCCCAGTACAAATTTAATTGAAAGCTGTTCATAATTTTGAGGTAAAATTTGTAATTACATGAATGGATGTACACATCATCCCATATATGCACTGTTTGTGTGAAGAATGTGTCATTATTTATAGACTGAGTATATTCTGTAGAACCGATAAAGAGAAGCTTGATACTTGAAGATGGTACTGTGTGTAGTGTGATGGCATGTATATTGAAATTATATCTGAACTTCATTACTTTTTTTTCCCGCGTGGTAAGTGACAGCTTGGATTATGTATTTAAATATGTCACTCATCCTGTGATGTCAGAGTGTGACTTATGCTAAGTAACAGTAGTATCTAATTGGAAGCAAAGTACACACTAAAGTGTAATCATTAGTTAGTTTTTAGGAACATGGTTTCTAGGTGTTGTTGGAAAAATTATGATTGTTATTGATGATTAGGTTAGTTCAACTGTGCTGGTTATTATAAGTGTCAACATACCAGAAGAATCAAAACTTGAAGTAACATAACCTAAATTCTGGTAGTTAAATTTTCTCCACACCAGATGAGTGTTTTATGTTGCAGTGATTTGATCAAATGCAGTGACTTAGTGGCATTTTTTTTTCCACACCAGACTGAATTGTCACATTTCCATGATTTGGTCACCAAGGTGTCTTTCAGAGAAATGGTGCAGTACATGGAAGTGAGGTTCCATTTCCACAGTTATGAAATGGGTCCTTGGCTCAGTGAATTCGTGGAACAAATAATAGTGCTGAATTTTAATATCTGTGGACGTTTTCCTTTAATTGAGTTATATGCTGTTGATTGTTGGAAGTGATTTTGAATCAACATCATTGAAGAGTGATTTCTATTTTGGGCTGAAGTCTTGAAAGCAGGAAGCGAAGTGTTCAGGAGTTATGAGGAGAAGAATGATCTTGACTACATGACATTTTCTTTTCTGTACCATATTTTTGGGCTTTTTTTGTATAGTATAAAATTTCTTTTTTTGTATAATGCCACATTATATGTGGAAGTGAGCCCCAGCTATAGATGTGATATTTATGTCACTCAGCCTTGCTCCTTTGCAGAGATGAGTGAAGATTTGAATGAAACATTTGGCTCTCACTGCGGATGTATGAAACCACAGATGAAACTAACCATGGAAGCTGAAATGGCCATTGGTGGTTGAAAGGTTAAATAGTGTTTACACTGATAATGCACCTGCTTTTACAGGTAGACATTCTGGCTGTGTATGTCTTCTGGAGAAATTTCTTTGCATCATGCTGATGAAATATTTTATAAACTACCAAGAAAACTTGTATGGTAAGTCTCTGGATATATACATGTTACATGAATGTAAATACAACAAGGAATCAACTTGAACTTCAAAACACTGTACTGCATTGGAATGAAACATACTGTGGAGGACTATATGTACAGTTCTGCTCCTGACTCTGAGTATTTGTCAGTGGTATATATTGTGTATGGAAACTACAACTGTCAGATTCTTATAAAAAGGAAATTACTCCAGGATGATGACGTTAGTGATGGAAGTGAAGGAATGCAAGAGAAAATGCTATTAAAATCTTTATGCTAGCACTCTTTTACTGAATCTGAAGATCTCTATTTCCAAGATAAACCAAAGATTATATGACAGAACTCTTGATGCATTTTGTGCAAGTGGAGATGCAGTTAAATGATTTGTTGTTATGTTGATAGGACAAAATATATAATTTGTCAGACACCATGGATCGAAGCCTTCAAATGAATCTGTGATTTTAATTGTTACAAGATTTGATTCGTTGATTTGTATTAATGAGGCCTGTTTTCCTTCATCAGAAGCAAGTGGCATACATTTTAACAATGCTGGCTGTACTAAACTGTATTTCCTTGTCTTGTTCAAAATACAAGGGGCAAGCAGTCTTCATGGCCCTTTGCATTTTATATGTATTTTCATGTGTAGTTCAATAGCTGTAATTGTAATATTTAATGAGTCCAGGCTTGTTTAGCAGATTATGAAGTATCTGATTTTGTTTTTGTTGAATGTGAAACAGTCACTGTGAGGGAAGAACAAATTTTGAAGATATTTAAAGGTTGAATGCTGAGGAGAATATTTGAACCCATGAGAGATAACTCACAGGAGATTGGAGGAAAGAGATGAGGAACTTCACAATTTGTGTGCTTCATCTAGTATAAGCAAGCAGTTTGTGATGGACAAGCATGTTGCATATATAAAGAAACAAGAAATGAACACAAAGTCTTTACTGAAAGAGATGCCTTAGTGGCCAGATGGTTAGAGAAGGGTCTTCTTTATTTTTTGTAATAACAATGAAGATAATTTAGATTTTGTAGCAAAGTTTTTTGAACAGTTGAATGTCTAACAATAACAAATTCATGTTTTTTTGTATGTATAACTGACATATTGGGAATCAGATAATTAGATCAGGGGTTTTCAACCTTTTCCAGATCTAAGGCTGTATTTATTCTTGATTATTGACTCACATGCCAAAAGGTTATAAATGAGGTAAATATTGGGTTGGTGCATAAGATCGTGGCATTTTTTCACATTTGAAAAACTTTTATTTTTTCCAAACAAATTCCACAAATCAATCAATTATGTATTCTCCGTCATTGTTCACGACCTCTTCCCAATATTTGACCACTTTTTCGATCTCACGCTTGAAGAAATCCTCTGGTTTGGCTGCAAAGAATTTATCCAGCCAATTTCAATTGATATATACATTGTGTAACTGTTCTAAATGTGTTCTTGCAGGAAGCCTTACAGAGAGAGCAGCTTCTGGAAAACAAACTGGCTACATTGCAGCGATTAGTTGAAACTACTCGTCAGGCATCAGATCTTGGTTGGAAAGCTCTTATAGATGAAGATCGTCTTTTATCACGTGTTGAAATTCTGGAAAATCAGTTACAGATGTATTCAAAAGTAAGATGAAATTGTATTGTTAGTCCTCTCCTTTTGACTGCACAGTACATACATTATGTGCATGTATGTGAAAACTCTTCATGAAACATGGTTTCATCAAATGGAAATAATTGCTGGGCTTGTAATCCTGGGATCCCGGGTTCGATTCCCGGTGGTGCCTGGATTTATAACTTGTGTTGGGCAAGGCCGTGGTCCAGGTATCAAGGAGTTTTCCTCCGGGGCTTTCCCGGTTTCTCCGTGGCATCCCAACAATTACTCCATTTTCATCATCATTAGGTACTAAGCACACAGAAGAAGGCAACGGCAAACCACTTCTGGATCACTTGCCTAGGAAACATATGAACAGGTCCCAATCAGAGGGATCTTGTTCATAATGTCACCAGGGGTCGGCTCCGACCTGATGGTACAAAAGAAAATGTGAAAACTCTTCATGAAACATTGTTTCATCAAATGGAAATAAATAGAGAACTAATGATAAATTGTGAAATTAATTTCTTAATGCTAGTTTATTTTTCAAAAGAAATTCAATATTTTGGATTAAATTATATTCTACTTCACCTACAACCAGGATTTAATACTTTTGTATGTGACTCCTATACAGCTGACAATCCCACATTGGGTTTTGCAGTGTATTGAAAATATATCTTCAAATCCTCTTGAAATTTCAATACAGGTTTCGCATGTATGTAGACTGAACTGATTTGTTTGATACAAAGTAGTACCATAAGCTTTAACAGCATAATAGTTTTTTACTATGTGTTATTTCTGGAAACAAAACATAGCACACACAGTCTTGCAACTACTGCTGCTGGTTCTTTTTTTGGGTGGGGGGGGTAATAAATTCGTCTTTTGATAAAATTTAGTAACTAGTAGATTGACTGGTCATCTGGTTTGTGATGCCATGTTGAGTAGAACCTGATGATGGAGGCAGTGGGGTTTTCTAAAGCATTTCTAATTACCTGCAAGACCACACAGTGCTGCAACCCAGGAGACAACAGTTGACCTCTTCTCTGTCTTGAGAACCTCAAATCTCAGTTTTGAGCTAGTAGTTTGTAGCCAGAAAATGACAGGAGCTCTCCCTGCTATTGTTGTATTCATAGTTTTAATGGTTGTTTATAGTTGTAGTTCATTGCAGTATCTAGGTTAGGTTCTCTTTTAATCTTTGTCTCCCCTCCCTCCAAATTCACTGTAACCCAGAAATAGAATTAAAGGATTTGTTCACAAGTATTTCTTGCTGTTTTCTGAACCTTCAGTAAATTCACCAAGTTATAAAATTTAAGGGGAAGGTAAAAAATGTACAGATACTTTGCTAACTGAATAATTAACACACACATAATTCAGACAAAAATGTATGAACTTCCACATAAATTAAATAGTCTGCTCTAAAGTTCTGTGTATTTTTCTTTGAACCATATTATAGCACAGATGCAAATTAATGTTTAGAACTTTTTTTATGCTACTTAAATCTGATAGGGGATGTTCTAAGGCACACGTTTCTCTTCAGAACTTTGCAGAGGACAAGCTGCGAGAGGAGTTACGGAAATTACAGGAAGATAAGAGTCAGTACCAGGGTACTGCCAAGGAATCTCTTCGCAAGATGCTGCAAGAAAAGCTGGAAGCAGTACAGAAGATGCAGGATATTGAACGGTACTGACATTATGCCTATTATTTTATTGTAATTTCTTTCTAGAAGGTCATTTTGTCTTATTGACACAAAATTATGAATTACTGGATCATAAACTGAACAGTGAAGGAGGTGACCAGTCAGTTGGTGCAATGGTAATGAAAGAAAGTGTTGTCTTACTCAGAGAATTAGAATATAAGTAAGACATTTTATTCCAGATCTGACCTGTTGTCTGATGCATAAGTTTTTTATGTGTCTAGATGGTTCTTGCTAAATGCAGGAATATGTTTCTGTAGAACACAGTGGGCAAGCTTAGAATGTGTGGGTAGAGAAATTGGAAATGAATTTTGTGTATAAGATTTCATAAGGCAGTTTATTTTATGCATTTGACATAAATATGTTACGAACAATAATATGACTGGTAAAGTTAATTTTTTACTGTTAAAAGTGAGAAGTGCTGGTAGTTGCTGAAGAAGATGAAGTAAGAGAAGCAGAGGTAGGCTTATAGGAAATTGCTGCCAGTGGACTTGAAGCTACTTGACTAGACTGTTGCTGGCACCAACAGTATATAAGATAATATTTCCTATTTTTGTGTATACAAAGGTGATGGAGAGTAATACAGCATATAGTCAAAATTGTTTTGCACAGTTCCACATTAGGCAGTGATTAAAAGTCAGTGAGTGTGTTTGTCTTTGAAGATAAGTATGTTGGGGGGGGGGGGAATTATAAAAGTATATCATGCAAAAAAGAACAGTGAACAAAGAGTTTTTTGAAAACAATTAATGATTAATAGAACTATTCAAAATGTTTTTATTAAAATTATTTTGCACAGTATGGGCTGCAGTGCCATTTCCTTTTCAGTTGTGGTCTGCAAATAGTCAAATACTTCTTATAAACTGATAGAAATGCTGCTTTCAGATCCAGATTTTTGATTTAGTTGTAATGGATGTATGAAACATGCTGTTTCCTCCTGTAGAAAGTTTGTGAATAGCTGCTCTCATCTATGTTATAGCATAACGTAAATTCATTATTATAGCAGTTGGGAATGGCTTAAAGTTGGTGTTTTACTGCTGTTAGACTTTTACTATGGCAGAATTATGGCAATGAAGTAATCTAATGTGCATTTTTTGTGAATACTGCGGTAGGACTCTGAGCAACACAGAGGATGAGTGTGCACACCTCAAGGAGCTGTGTGAGCGCAGCCAGCAGGACTTACAAGATCTTGCATTAAAATATAGTCTGCAGTTGCAGAAAGTAGAGGAACTCTCATCTAAACTACAGGTGAGTAGGTCGAAATGTTTGTCTTTATTTGAACTATTACATCCAGTATGCACATATATACTCAGGCATAAAGTAATATTTATAACAGCATTCCTGAAAGGTGGCTCTGCAGATAATATCGGTACCTTTTGTACAAGCAACACAGTCATCATCAGTTGATACTGCATGCTCATTTAACATTGTTGTAGGAAACAGAAGATCAGCATCGTGAAGTTTGTGAACGCTTAGAACAAGAAAAGCAAGAATTGCAGGCTAGATTACAAGAACAGCTGGAGGCAGAACGAGCATTGCAACTGCGTTTGGAAGCATTGCAGGTCGATGGAGATGTCACACAAAAACAACTGGCAGCCCTGCAGTCACATATCCATTCTCTGCAACCCAGTAATAATATTGACTCCAAAGTAGATCTTGACAGCTTTAAATCTACAGATTCAACAGGTGAGTTTCCTTTTTCAGCACTCCAGCTCTCCTAACCTCTCAGGCTTAACGGTGCTTTTTGTCACATTATTCTCTGATAGTGCACTGATTAAAGTAGCTCTGATTTCACTTTCAAGACAGAATAGTATAGTCAGTAAGTAAGTAGTCAGTAACTGACTATAAGCTGAATGATTGGTACATCGGTTTCTTCCAGGGACATAGAAACTATGATGCACTGTGTATTTCAATAATATTGTCATTTTCAGTTGCGTTTGTCCATACTGAGAGATCATGCTTGCATAATATTTAACTCTTCTTTGCAAAAAGATTAACTCTCTTTTAACTGGGTTGTGAAATAAAACCTATCACGTCTCAATCTGATAAATTGAATTTTGTCACTATAGCATTGAAATCTGTACTACTACAGTGAAACCTCGATGCATCGTTTTCGGCGGGGGTGGGAAATAAAAACGATAGATGCGGGAAAACGATAGATGCGGGAAAGCATTAAAAATTTAAAAAAAAAACAATGTTTCTCTTTCAAAGTTACTTCTTTTTACCAAAAAAGTCTTTAATGGACAACTGGTTTGTCGAAACTTTACGTTTTAGACCAAACAGAGCACTTTCCACGTTCAAAATGTTTTCCTCGTCACGTTCACTAATACTATGCGCATAAAAGAACGACTTCACTTTCGCCAATGCAGCGTGTGCTTCGG